CGACTCCTGCACCTCACAGGATTCGAACCCGCGACCTTCGGTACTGTGCGCGAACGCCTAACCTTTCATTATAAAATGTTGTGAAGATTGTTAATTTCGCAGTTCTATCTAATGAATTGAATTGAATTGGAGAATCATTCGGAAAATTAAAAAGGAATAGAAAACCATTATAGCCTAATATGATTCTTCTCATTATTGTATATCCACAATTTCATAAGAAGTTTAATCCAAGACCTTCAGGTTTTGCCACAGGTATGTAATCATTAGATCATTGAGTTGATTTCTAGAAGTTTATATTTCTAAATTCAGTCGATTTTCACTATTGCCAAACCATCATCCATTTTCACTTTTAGCCAATTCGTCTCTGGATTTTAAATGGTTATCTATTCAAAGTCAGTTCATAATTTGATATTTTTCCTTTTAGAACGAATGAAAATCATACAACCCTTAACAGTAGTTTTTTTTTTTAAGTCTAACTCTCCTCAAGCATATACTTCCACAATGTTTTATTTGACAGAATATATAATTTACTTGTTTTCACTAAACATTAATAATACTGATTCACTGTAATTACAAAACTAACTATTCAGATTTCAGATTTTATATCATTTTGTTAGATGCATCTTCTTGATAAATTGTTATCTCTTTCAACTTATCTGAATTTTTATTACAGAATTGTGAAGATATAGTTGAGTTTCGTTGAAATCAATGTTAGACTACCATTAGAAACCTAGAAGCACTGGCTGGTCATTTCATCTTAGCAAGGAGCTCATCAGTAGTGCGCATTCACTACCCCCCCCCAGGTGGGTATCGAACCCACAATTTTCAGCCTCACGCGCAAACGCTTAACCTTTAGACCATTAAGCCGATATCCAGTGGTGTTAATGTCTAACTTCAGTCAGTCCACAATGGTAAATTCATTAAGAATTTGATCAACTCCTTACTCTTAATCGCATTTAGAATTATGGATATTTAATGCTCAACAGTATGAAACAAAGTTAAAACATCAACAAACTTTGTGATTAAAAATCTCTCTTTTAAAACCATTAAAAAATTTATATTGAAACTTTTAAAAAATTTCATGTAAAAGAGTTTAAAAAATTGACTTTTTGTATTGAATGCATATGATGACTAGTAGAATTCTGTACCAAAAATGAATGTACATCATACAGATGATAATAATAATAATAATAATAATAATAAAAGGTTGTTAGGAGATAATGAAAAGAAAGCTGAAGCATTTTCACAAATAAATCAATCAATGGCCAAGAATATATTATGTTAAACGAAATTGTACTGTTAAAGTGGATTTCTTTCAGTCTTTCGAGCTCTCGTTACTTGTAAGAAACAAGTAAAAGAAAATTACAACAGGACCAACACTGACTTCTATCCTAAGTTATATGTGGCAATGTCTCAAGTCAATAGGTTTCAACATCTTTAGATGTCCAACCAGAGAGTTATGATGGACAAAAGGATGTCAGTCTTATACATCTTCTTTCTATACCCTGATGCCATGTCATAAACTGGTAAACTTACTGCCTTTTTCAACCAGTCCCATCGATGACAAATGATAGATAATCGGTGACTCACCGATATAACATTCGTCGATATTTTGACATGATAACATTCATTGAATTATCTCTTCTGTACCCAAACACATGTTGCGAACCTCTCTGTTACTTGAGTGGTGTTGTCAGTGGATCTCATCAAACCTTGTGAAGCATTCTCGACTTGTAGAAGCCAGGTTTTACGAGGATAGAGAAAAACTGTCCTTACTGACGAGTTGTGGACTCGACTTTTATGGCTATGCAAGCCTTATGGACACACCAAAGATAGTCTAGACTGGCATAAGCTTCTCCGGACTTCAAAAAATGTAAACTGGCCTAATCTGGCATCCCATTACCAAAATTTACTGAGATGTTCAGTTATAAGAACTCCTCCTTTACTTCTAACGCCTCTTGGCAAAGAGCGAATGATACCTCTGGCTCCTGTCAGCCTTGTAAAAATATATCGAAATCCGAAGTTACAAATAACATGTTATGCTATAAAAATCGGTTCTTAACAAGGTAAATGAGGATCATATAGCTTAAGTATCATCATCATCTCTGGAATTGAAAAGTCTTTTCCAGGTAACAGATCCATACCAACATTAACTACATCGGCAAATTTCGCCTGACTCCACTTCTTGTTTAGAACATTGGAAAAACTTGGCTGTATAACTACGGTCCAACTAAGGGATTTAAGATTTTACTGAACTTCTTCGATACATCCTTTTTCAATAGAGTCTAATTTAAAGAATCGAAGGAAATTGTGATATTAAGAAACACATTGGTTACTGTAGTACAGTAAGTATATTCTAACGTTTGATGTGTGGTGTAGATATGATCAATACAAAAAGGAAATCAGCCTGTTCTTTGTGAGTTAATCTTTCATGAGCTTTGAAATATTTGGAATCCAATAGTTCGGACGTAGTTGGAAGTAAACTTATCCTCTTCTATTTGTTGCATAGATGCCATAAACCATTTTTAAAATAACGACCATGTTCACATCATTTCAGTATGTTGGAACACTTCTGGTAAGGAAAAAATTCACTCCGATTAACATTAATCTATAGACAATATAGTATTGGGGAAATTTTTGAGTTACATTGTAATTGTGGATCAATCAGTGTTATACCGCCATCAGAAACACAGAAGCATTGGACGGTCATTACATCGTAGTATGACACCTATCAGCAATGTGCATCCAGGAATCCACGTATCGTAATAGAACCCAGGACCTTCAGTCTTGCTTGCAAATGCTCAAACTCTTGATTCAAGTTAGATATTAATACTATTTGATGCCGGCCAAACAATCTATGGGTTAAGCACTCGCTCGCGAAAGTGAAGGTCCTGGGTTTGAATCCCGTATACAGAGTCACGGATACGCTTTGCTTATGAGTCCTGTATTAGAATGAATCAGCCTTACAGTGCTTCCAGGTTTCCAATGTTGGTCTAACATTGATCAGTCTATAATTTCAATTATTCTATCGGTCAGAATTTGATAAAACACACCAATAGTTAATTTGGACATATTTTCCCCAAGAAACTTCAAAGGTTTTCATGTCTTCATCTAATAAGTATTAGACGAATAAGTCTTATTTCAATGTTCTATCACCATAAAATTCCACTAAACCACTGTCAAAACATGATCATCCGGATTCGAGCTTATATTTCTTTCTTTTTCTTCGTAAATTTCACTTATTCCCTCGTAAACATGCATAAACTTTTGTTTAAATTGAACACTTTGAAAATTTGAATATCCAAATGATTTTATATTAAGTAGTTTATAATAATCGAAACAAAAGTAGATTTATTTTCACTAGAAAGCATTTATCGTTTAATATTTTTGCTTGAAAAGATAAAATTACCCGAGTAAACAAAATTAGAAATATAATTATAAACAAAACTCTTATGATGTTTACATTTTACAGTAGAACAGAGAAAAAAAAACTTATTTGGAAAATATCAACTGAGATGTTGATTTTGTTTTCCTCCGTTACAAAGAATTTTAAACTTTGATCACATCAGTATGAATGTGGTTTTTCGGCATATCAGTAATGTAACATAATTCAGACTACAAATAAATGAAACATTTTGGGTGAATACATATTCTAGATGGAAAAACGTAAAAAGATACTATCTTTATGTATGAGATTCTAAATAAATAAACCACAACAAACCAAGACCAATGATTGTTCAAAAATTCGAATTTTTATCAACTTAAACAGAGAAATTTTTAACGAAATTATTCATTTTCCCATGGTATTTTACTCAATAATTCAAAAAAAATTGAAGAAACGGGCGAAAAATGCAATCTCTACCAAATATTATTAGAAAACCCATAAATTTATTCTAAATTTCTGACAGTTTATAATATTGCCGACCTAATATTTTGATGCTATCAGCCAATTTTACATGCTTTCCGTGTGTATTATATCTATTCGTATGCGCAATTATATATATACATTTTTTTCGCTTACCAAAAAACTAAAAGATTGCCTGATTCTTATGACCTTTAAGCAGATTAACTTTGAAGTATACCGCGCTTGATTAAAAAAGTATTTGTCGGCTTAAAATCAATAATAAGTATTGACCCCTTCAGTTGTTATTTTTTTTTTCAAACTTTATTCTTTTACTGTATTTGTGAATGTTATATCTTCATTTTTAATTGTTGTTTTTTCAGACACATGTGTGAAATTTTTTTAGTCTTCTATAAAATAAATAAAATTTGTTGTATTCGTCAAACTAAACCGTTTTTTTTTTATTTCTTTTACCCGTGAATTTTGAATAAGTGACTTTTTTAATTTAACCAATCAGATGAGAGTAAAAGATGATTTAATGTAACAAGAATGTGATTGGTTGATTATGCGAAATGCTAACTTTTCTACTAGGGAAGGAAGCTAGATTATTTATTTCACTCACTCACTCACTCGTTTGAAAAAAGATTAATGATAATGGCTGATACACACACACAAACACAAATGAATGCATGAACGAATGATGAATGAAAAATATACGGACACTGACAGACATAATTACACACACATACATACTACAACGCTTAGAGAGTATGTTAAGTCAGATAATAAAAAATCTGATTTGTCGAATATTCAACCAATTGGTTGAACTATAAACATACCATCAAATAATAACATAATTATCGCTATAATTTTTAATAGTTAACACATTATCATTAATATTAGACAATTATTATCATCATTATCGAAATCCAAAGTTTAGATTAACAACAATATTTGTAAAAAGTTTGATTGATACACGTGATTATTTGATTGCCTGGATTTGGTTTATTGGTTTTATTGCATTTTTCTTTTGATTCATAGAGAGGAATTCAAACATTATTTCAATTCATTACATAGAAGTAATTATAATCATTATTAATAATAATAATAATAATTATTATTATTATTATTATTACTATTCCTCTTTGTTCTCCATCTGGTGAGCTATGTTAACAATGCAATCAAATTATTATGGTACACGAATTGATTCGCGTCTTGTTAATGGTTCCATTTTAAATGCACAATTAACTAATTATTCACAGAATCCACAATCCGCGGCACATCAACAACCGTCACAACAACAACATCATTATCCTTCACATCAACAACAACAACATCATCAACAGCCACAACTGTCACAATCACAAACTCCACATGAATTACGTTTACCGTCTGTTATATCACCGACAACCTCAACTAATAATAATAACAATAATAATAACGATTCAACAAATTGTTCAGATCTAATTAATAATCCCAATTCATCCCCGGAAGAAGAATCACATCATTTTCCATTATCAACAAGACAATTAACATTAAGACGTAATAAAATCACTGATAATCAAAATTGGGGACAAACTAATATTGATTGTAATATGAAATTAGGTTATCCTGCTACTACTATTACTACTACTAATACAACAGCAGTACAATCACCTAATACGACAACTAATGAAGAATTATCATCAAGATCAACACGTTTACATTTGAATTGCACAGCAACTAATGATCATTCTTCAGTGGATTCTTCACCATCACCTACTACTAATATTAAAACAACTTTAACTAATCATAATCACAATAATAATAATAATAATAATAATAATAATAATAATAATCATACAAATCTTATCAATCAACAATTTTATACTGATATGAATTTAATACGACAATCAAATGATTTAATTTGTTCTACTGCTTCAAATGTAGTCATGTATGGACGTAATGGAGGACCAAAAGAATTAGATTATTTATTGGCCGCGAATGCAGCTGCTGCACTTGTTAGTCAACTTGGTAATGTCCAGAATACTAATAATAGTAATAACACTAATAATAGTAATAATAATCATTCATCAATGAATAGTTTAAATTCAAATTTAACTATGGAACAATTAAATGCTAATTCTACTAAATTAATACATCGTGATATGAATTCATTAGAATCATTGACAGGGAAAAATTTATTCATGACAAATGAATTGAGGTATAACACTGCTACTACTACTAATAATAATAATAGTAATACTATTAATGGAAACACGAATAGCCATGATAATCATACAAATATCCCATTATATGATGAACATCAACGTTTGATGTATTCTAATGGTGCAGAACAAAAATATTCTCATTCTAATTCATTAAAATCATATCCCAGTAGTTTATTGAATCCTTTTAATGGTACAAATTTTATGCATTCAACATTACATCCAAATTCATTAATCACTCGTCATTCAAATAGCAATAATAATAATAATAACACGAATTCATTTCAATTGAATGCCACAAATGATGTCAGTAATAACAATACTACTAATCATAGTAGTAGCAATAATAGTAGTATAAATGATTCACGTTCACATCTATATGATATTACATCATTCAATTCAAATAATCCATATTCTTTAACAAATACACTGAATTTTAATTCACGTTCTATGCATAATCAAACTATGATTATAAATGATTCAATGAAATTAAATGGAAATTTAACATTACATGATACAAATTATCATACTTTATTAAATGGTTCCTCGTCATCCTTATCAACATCAACATCCATGTTTCGATCACTGGTGAATTCAGAGAATCAACAATATTTGAATAATACTACGAGTAATATGTTAATGAATTCATCATTGGACAATAATGGTAATAATAATAGTAATAATCACCATTTAACATTGAATGATAATAGTAATGATTGCACTGGACAATCATTATTACATCAAAGTGGTAATAATTCAAATGAATCTAATGTAGTTGTTTATCCTTGGATGAATCCTAAAGGAACTGGTAAGTTGTTGTGGTTGTTGTTGTTGTTGTTGTTGTGACAATACTTTTATTTTTGAAACCATGAATCGATCAATGTTAGACCATTAGACCATTAGAAACCTGGAAGCACTGAAAGACGGCTGTTTCGTCCTGGTATGGGACTCATCAGTGGCAGTGCGCATCCATGACTCCTGCACCTGGCAGGATTCGAACCCAGGACCTTCAGTATTGTAAGCGAACGTCTAGCCATTGAACCACTGAGCTGATATCTAACGGTGTTAATGTCTAACTTGATCAATTCACTGCTGAGGAGTCCCATACCAGGACGAAACGGCCGTCTTTCAGTGCTTCCAGGTTTCTAATGGTGTGGTCTAACATTGATCGATTCATGGTTTCAAAAAATGTGTAACTTAACAATCTTCACAACCCCTGTAATGCAAAATACTTTTATTCACTTCAAAAAATATATTTTTCACTGATAAAGAAGTTTGTTAGGAGGGAATAGTAGTTCTGACATAGAAACTTGTCCTTTTTTTGGCAAAATTCTTTGATTTTTAGAGAAAAAAGTGAGAAGTATGTTACATATACATAATTATTTGTTAGGAGACAAGAAAGATGTGTACTTAAAATAGATTGATTTTGTTTCTTATGAACTAGTTTGTCTGATCAGATGTGAACGATTAAACATTTTGGTGTTTAACAACTAATTAACTTGTACGAAGATAAAGATGAAGTGAGCAATCAGTTTGTCTGTTGTAAGACTTTTAGTGTAAACAATCTATATTGTAGATAACCTGTAAGGATTTTATCCCTTGATTTCTATAAGATACATATACATATATAAATAAACAGTTTCTATGTCACTAATTCTATGATAAAAATTATTTCTCCCCCCTCGCTTTTTTTCATATTGATTACATTCGTTTTAAGTTAAATGTACATTTGCATTAATTAGTTATAGTATAATAATATAAATAAAGGTAAATAATTTTTGAATGAAAAAATTGCAAATTCGATCTAAACTCTCTTTTATTCCTGTGGTTATATTATGAATCTTATCACAAACGGACTGAATTTGAAAAAGAAGTGTAAACTAATGAATTTTCAACTAATGACTTCATTGGCATAATGTATACACGATTCAAACTAAACAAAACGTTTTATATTTAATTCTCTGAGTGTATGAAATCGTAGATGTGTACACTTGTGTGCATCGTTGAAGACTTCTATGATTTTTTTTTTCATTGTAACTAGTTCTCCATTTATTTTCAGTTAGAGTTTTGGAGATTTGTGTTTGTTTTTCGCACATTTGAAATCATCACTCAATCAATCATTGTTAGATCAGCATTAAAAACCAATTTATATAATCTAACATGAAAAGTATAATTTACAACAAGTGTAGTGAAGGAGAACACAGGTGAGGGCGACCGTATTATATTTACCGAACATTACAGAGCGTTTCATACAAATTCCATTGTGTTTCCGCCCTTCCTTTCTTGATCTTCCCCCATCTTCTGCTGCCAGACATTACGTTTACGCTCGCGTCATATACTACTTATAAGTAGCGCACACCACATAAGTAATTTAGAAAGCGTATGGTTATAAAACAATATGAATTTAGCAAAAGGCAATTTCACCTTCATCATGCTTCCGTCATGACTTCTACTCTACTAGACGATATCAAGTCAAGAACTATCAATGATGCTGATTAAAGACCATAATATATTTTTGCCTATTTTTATTATAAGTGTTTTTACACATACATTTGAAATTATCAATCAGTCAATCATTGTTAGATCACACCATTAGAAACCTGGAAGCACTGGATGGCTGTTTCGTCCTAGTATGGGACTCATCAGCATTGCGCATTCACGATGAGTCCCATATCAGGACGAAACGGCCGTCCAGTGCTTCCAGGTTTCTAATGGTGTGGTCTAACAATGATTGACTGATTGAGGATTTCAAATGAAGCAATTCATGTTTGGTTAACATATATATATGGGACTCCAGTTATTAATAAAATAATAATCTTTGTAATAAAAAGTCGCATACTCTTCCTTAGGTTAATTATTTTCTCATAATCAGCGAATAGTGTAAACTGTTTGTGTTTTTTTTTAATTTTAAAAGTGAATAAAACTACAATGACGTTTTTTAGTGTGACCTTAAAATTCATCCATCATTAATAATCCTTTTTTTTTCTTTTGAAAAAAAATAAGTTCACAAAATTCTTCAACTAAAGTACTGTCAATAGAGACAAATAATATTGAATTATAATTTCTGACTGGTCTATACGTTCTATATGTTCATGCCATGTTACTGCCACTTCCAAGGATATGACGTTCTGTATCTTTAACCACTTCTAAACAAAGTTTCTCTGAATGAGAAATTATTCGCTAATTACATCGATTTTCAAGTAGTGATTCAAATTCATTGATTAATCAAACTAATCATTATGTGTACACATTCACCAGGTGTATGATTATTAATATCATTATTATTATTATTACTATTATTATTATTAAATAAACAAGGTGTATATTAACAGTAGATTTGTTTGTTGAATTTTTATATATATATAAACAAATTATTATTGTTTATATAAATATTGAATAAGCTCACTTTGATCTTAGCGCTAATTCATTATAGTAGGATGTTGTATGCGTCATACAAACAGTAACGGTGTTTTTTTTTTCCATCACTTATATTTTTTTTTATAACCTTTAAAACTTTTATCATAAACTTCTGCAAGTGTCCATGTTCAAAATGAAATTGAAAAACAAATTTGATCAATGATCAATACTATCTTGCTATTCGGCGCAAAAATTAAACAATTCATTGAATTTTGAAATTTGTTTGACCCTTACTTACTTACTTACTTACTTACTTACTTACTTACTTACTTACTTACTTACTTACTTACTTACTTACTTACTTACTTACTTACTTACTCTTTTATCTGGGCTTGGGACCGTCACTAGCCACAGAGAGGCTCCGGGTGGAGTTTATTTAGGCTAAGCATTCAAATATATACATGGAATATCATTGTTTGTGTCAATTATTCAACACCACTTGTGACATTTTAAAATAGTAGTTAGGCTTCGATAGTCTTGAATGCATTTTCAATTACTGTAGTTGCTCATGTTCAATACCTTAAAATTATTGACTATTGAAAATACAATCAAATGAATAGGAGGGTTTGACAAAAAAAGAATCTAACACATGACATTTGTTTGTTTGTTGGTTGGTTGGTTGATTTTTTCCCAATCCAAACCGAATAATAAAGCAAATTACAATATTCTTCTAAAAAATAAATCGATATGTGGCATTTGAAATTCTCATTGACGATGTCAAGAAGTTTTTATCACCCATTTCAATTTTTTTTTCTGTTTCTGGTTTTGTTTTTTTCATATCAAAATGTAGGATACATAAATATATATATATTTAAATTATTTATTTGTCTGCATGTCAAATAACCAAAACAAGAAAACAAAAAGTAAAAACAATTTTAACTTTTTTTCCGTGACTAGTAAGTAAAATGCTCCGAATTTGATATGATGATTTGTAACAACAGATGAAATAAAATAACAAATCGTGATTTGATTTAAATTTTCTTTCACAACAAGATAAGTTCTCATTCTGCTTTTATCGATTTATTTTTTTTCAAGTTAAAATTAAGTTAAAATTAAATTTCTAGATTAAGATAATAAAAAAGGAGCAACTTGAAAGATTTATTTAAGAGTTCGCTTTAGTCACATAGATTAGACTTAGGGTTGATACAACATTCAGACCATATACAGTCAGATGCAACGTAGAACTTCGTACGTAAGTACATCAGTTCATGTTGCCATACCACATCAGCACAGAGATATAATTGTCAATTCAAATCCAATAGTAGAAGAGGTAGTAAAGGTATTAGAAGTAATCGGAGAGGTTAGGATTAGAAGATATTATTCAAGAAGTATGATTCAGTGAGAAAAGTTTAGAAAGTCAAAACTAAGTGGGGGGGGGTTGAAGAATCCAAAAGATTAGGATTTGAGGAAGCACAACGAACTGATGCACTTGCGCCATTAAAAACGATTTTGAGCCATGTCGTTCAAGGTCTCTAACCATTGGTGACTATCGTCTCGCGGACCCCGACCACGTAGTCTACATCTACCAACATGACTCAGTCCACTTGTCAGTGACTTCATTGATTTCTGCCATGTTTTGGTTTGGCCGCCCCTAACTTTCTTCCAACCTACTCCTACACTACAAAACAAAGCTCGTCGAGGCAGTCGGTGGTTAGACATACGCAGCACATGTTCCAACCACCTCAACTAATGAAGTAGCATAACTTCATCTATTGATCTGCCATTCTTACCTAGCCCCCGCTGCCTAATAACAGCGTTGCTCACTCCGGTTGTCCCACGATATACGAGCAATGCTTCGGGACACCTATGATCGAAAACCAATAACCGACTAATATCTTCTACTCTCACTGGCCATGTTTAACAGCCATAAAGTAAGACGAAGCATACACATATTTATACAGATGATCAGATCTCTTAGGTGATCTGGATTGAAACAAAACTGCCCAATTTTTCAGACTAAATAAATTTCATATTGAATAATGTACGCTTTTTTGAGTTTGTATTAGTTTAAAAGTCAGAAAGGAACAATCAATCTGCAAACATACAACATGATATTACGACAGGAACATTTTGATTTAGTTTAATTTCTAGGCAAAAATTGAATTAAAAACCTATTCCCTATCTTTTTATATTGAAATCCTTATTTAATTATTACTACTGATATCATGATTAGTATAGATTTGATTGAATTTATGTTATAGACTGAATGACTAAAATACAAAATTATACAAAATTATCATTTAAGGGAAACAAAAATCGATTCGGATTATTATTTTTTTAATATACAAGTCAATAGCATTATTACACTATGAATGTTAACTGTTTATGTTATAATGAGATGAAGTAATTCGTGTATAATATTCATTCACTATTTAGTTTCAAAAGAGGTCT